CAAGAAACCAGCTAGATGACAGCGGGCAGGGGGGAGGTATCTTCTGGGCAGGGAGAACAGGCCCTGTCAGCCTCCCCCATCCTATCACTCACCTGAAACCTGTTTGCTCTCTTCCAGCATTTAAGAAGTACCTGCAAGAAACCTATTCAAAGCAGGTCTCCAGTCAAGAGCCCTGACACAAGATGTCCAGCTTCTCCTTGTGTCGTCTTTTTCTTAGATGGTCTGTCCTCTCCTTGATTTCTACGCTGTGGTGTTATTTTTGTTTTATTTGTCTTTTTAACTTAAGTCTGCTTAAGCCCTTACAATGTATATTAAATAAATACACGTTGATTGTTTTTGTATAAGTTACCCTCAACCAGTGGTACTTGGGACAAGAGGGGAGCTAGCTTAACATCCGGGTTCTGGCCTGTTGGCTCCAGGGTTGGAAGAAGCTGATAGACAGTGGGGGCTGAATGTAGGTTACTAGGGTGTGACCTTGTGTGTCTGCATATAGTCTTCACCAATAAAATGGGTATCAATAATGCTGTTTGCCTGGAGATATAGCTCCCTGGCAGACAGCATGTTGAATACCTGTGAAGTCCTGGGTTCAGTTCCAGCCACAGATTAATATCCATTTCTGAGTTACAGCATGCACTGTAAATGTCAGGAACAGTGCCAGCTGGGTTACAGATGAGGCTCAGCCAGACCCTTAAGCTCAAGAATGTGTAGGAGAGGGAAGAACTAGACACCCACTTTCTAACAGATGTTTTTTTTTTGGGGGGGGTGCTCAGGTTACCCTACAGCAGGTCCAAGCTCTGGAAAAGACTGAGCTCTGGACTCAGGTCCCCCACGCACATGGTTCCAAGCCAGGGATTGGGGGCACTTTCACCTCCTGCTCCATCTCCATGAGGACCCTCCCCAAGTCATCAGCTCTGCAAGCCGCTGGTTGTGCAGGCTGTGGGAAGAGGGAGGCGAGGCAGAGGGACAAGCCTGTCAGGAAGGTTCTAGCCAGCCCCGTTAACTACTCTTAGCCCATCCTCAGTCCTGAGCCCTTACAGCCACATGTGGAAAAAGAAAATTGACTTGTCAGCTCAGAAGTTAGTGTTTCTCTTGGGCATAGAGCTTTTTTAATCCATGTAATGTGGACAAACCCACTTGGGATCTTGTTAAAATACAAGCAATGACAGGGTTGCATTTCTAGTGAGTCCCAGGTTACTTTTGCTATGGTCTAGTTAACATACAAAGTGTTCTGCAAAGGGTGTGGTTTGGTTGGTAGAGTGCTTGCCTATCGTGCATTAGACCCTGTGTTCAGTCTCCTGAAACACAGTAGCAGTCTGGTCTATATCGAGTTCTAAGGCAGAAGCGTATTATCAGGGCCCTATCTTATACACACTAAAAAAAGGTATGAGGTCAGCACGATGAGACATGCCTGCAATTCTAGCAAAGGAAAAAGGTGTGGTTCTGGAAACAGCACAGGAGCCACCTAGAACAGACTTAAGAAGATGCCTAAGAACAGGAGTGCTCAAAAACCACCCACACGCACACACTAAATCGGCTCCAGATAAATGCTGAAGTGGCTGGCTATATTCGGGTCTGCCTTGGAAGGCTGGGACGTGTGGTCCTTAAGGTGGTGTTTAGTCCTCTGCATGGTCAGCTGACCTACCCTGTCACAAAGACCCGGAGTTGTAACTAGTTAACCAAATAAGGGGGCAGTGGTGGTGCATGCCTTTAATCCCAGTACATGGAAGGCAAATCTGAGTCCGAGACCAGCCTGGTCTACAGAGTTGAGTTCCAGGGCAGTCAGGGCTACAAAGACTCGAGTTCTGACGCTCTACAGTGTAAAGTCCTACAGTGGGAAGAAAGGGAGGTTGTTTCTTGGGGTGCAAGTACTCCAGGGGTGTGCATACTGCGAGAAGTACAAGCTGCTAAAGTAGCTGGGTGTCTGCTCTTCCAGGGCTTGCCGCCATGGCAAAATACCTGTTACACCAGAGAATCTAGGTTCAGGTTAGGTCCCCAGAACTGCAGGCATAAGGGGGAGGGGGCAGCTACTTGAGATTTATCTTGAAAACAACAAAAGCTAAGCAGCTTTGGGCACAGCAGTGTTAAGAGACTGAGCCCACACCCTTAATCCCAGCAGAAGCACAGAGACAGATCTCTGAGTTCAGAGCCAGCCTGGTCTACAGAGCTGAGTTCCAAGACAGCCAGGGCTGCACAGAAAACTCAAGAAAGAAAGGTGCTGTGGGACAATGGTCTTTTATCGAGTCACTTGTATTATTTTTAATAAAATGCTCATTGAAGCCAGGCGGTGGTGGGGCATGCCTTTAATCCCAGCACTTGGGAGGCAGAGGCAGGCGGATCTTTGTGAGTTCGAGCCAGCCTGGTCTACAAGAGCTAGTTCCAGGACAGGCTCCAAAGCTACACAGGAACCCTGTCTCGAAAAAACAAATAAATAAATAAAATTAAAATCCGATTGGCCAGTAGCCAGGCAGGAAGTATAGGCGGGGCAATGAGAATTCTGGGAAGAGAAAACAATCTGCAGTGGTCACCCAGACTCAGAGGACACAAGATGTGACTGCCTCACTGAAAAAAGGTATCAAGCCACATTGCTAACACAGACAAGAATAATAGGTTGATGTAAGATGCAAGAATTAATAAACTGGGTGGTGATGGCTTGTGCCTTTAATCCCAGCACTTTCAGAGGCAGGCGGATCTCTGTGAGTTCAAGGCCAACCTGGTCTACAAGAGCTAGTTCCAGGACATGCTCCAAAAGCTACAGAGAAACCCTGTCTCGAAAAACAAATAATAATAATAATAATAATCAGAAACCTGAGCTACTAGGCCAATCAGTTTATAATTGATGTAGACCTCTGTGTGATTCTTTGTCTTTGGGACTTAACAGCTGCAGGATAGGGCGGGACAGAAACCTCAGTCAATAGGAAGGAAAGAAAGAAAGACCCTCTTGGCTGCAGTTAAGAGCAAGGAAAATAATACCTTATCAAGAAGTAAGATGGTGACTTGAGCTAAGACGGAATGGGCAACAACAGTATATAGTAGGTACTTGATAAATATTGGCGGTTTCTAACACCAGCACTGGAGCGGGCTGAAAGCAGAAGCTGGGAGGTATATAAGTAGAACAAGAAGGAAGAGGAACCGGAAGCTGCTTGCCAGAAAGCCTGACAGCCTGAGTTCAATCCCAAGTTGCACGAAGAGAGAATGTCTCCCAAAAGTTGTCCTCTGACCTCTATATGCATGCATATAGCATAATACACACCAGCAAACACATGGGACATAAACGTAATTTTAAAAAAGTTTAAGTGGAGGGGCTGGAGAGATGGCTCAGTGGTTAAGAGCCCTTGTTGCTCTTGCAGAGAACCTGGGTTCGGTTCCCAGCACCCACATGGTGGATCATAGCCATCTGCAACTCCAATTCCAGGGGATTCAATTCTTGTGTCCTCAGGTGCCAGGTAAACGTGGTACACAGACACACATGTAGATAAAATATTCACACTCATAAATCTAAAAGAATAAAAATGTTTCCGAGGGAGGAAGAAGACAGACAGGACAGGAATGGAGAAGGTGGGTTGTAGTCATGAATAAAATAACAGTAAAATTCAGGGTTTCAAGAATGGTGGCAGGCTGGCATGGTGGCACACACTTTTAATCCCAGCACTGGGGAGGCAGAGGCAGGCGGATCTCTGTGAGCTCAAGGCCAACCTGGTCTACAAGAGCTAGTTCCAGGACAGGCTCCAAAGCTACAGAGAAACCCTGTCTCAAAACAAAACAAAACGAAAAAAGAATGGTGATAGGCTGGCATGGTGGCACACACCTTTAATCCCAGCATTTGGGAGGCAGAGGCAGACAGATTGTTGTGAGTTTGAGGCCAGCCTGGTCTACAGAGTGATTTTTAGGCTAGATAGGAGAAAAGAAGAAAGAAAAAGAAAAATGAAAAGAAAAAGAAGGGCAGTAAGGGTGATCCTAATATTAGCAAAAGATACATCTGCTATCTACAATGGAAAGGAGTAGCAATGTGGCTCAGTGGCCCTGCATTCGCCTAGCATGCCCCTGGGCCCCAGCTCCACAACCAGGAAGTGCCAACATTTATTAAATGATGTTTGCTACGTGTCAGGAGCTGTTCTGCTTCATACATAATTACTCTCGAACTCCTATGCCCCGTAAGTATTCGTTATCTTCTTTTTACAGATGAGGAAACTGAGACACAGCGAGGTTGAATTTAGCACAGGCAGTGAGGGTTCAAACCCAAGGCTAATTACTGCACTCAATTAGTTCTGGCTTGGTAGCAATTGAGTGGTAGAGAAGGTTAATGGCACTGTCTGAATCACTGGGGGCTGGGATCCAGGGAAGAGACGGTATCTGAGCCCAGGCTTGTGGGTTGACGAGCCAGATTCCTAAGAAAGGCACATCCTTCGGGATAGGGTTTCACTTTAGCTAGGTCATGCCTTTGGCCCCTTGGAGAGCAATGGAGGGGGCTGAAGGGAGGGAGATGAGGGACCAAAGAAACTACGCTCTCTAACAGCTTTGCGCCTGAACAAAGTAGTTCATGCAGCTGTCTGGGACGGATGGAAAGATCCCTCCTCCTCAGGAAGGACCTGCAGAGTGTGAACGTACTATACCTAAGACCCAAGAGTTTCCAGAAATGGTGAGGGAAAAGCAGCATTGCCCCCTCCCGGGTTCCAGCTTCCGCACACCTTCGCCCTGTCTCAGGCGCTTTTGCTCGATCGGCCGTCACCCAGTGGCTCCCCTTCCTGCAGCGCCGGGCACAACTGCAGCCCACTTGCCGAGCTGCTCACGGCCAGCGCCTGCTGCGGGTAGCTGACCGCGAACCTGTAGAGCCGGTCGAGCAACGCCCAGCACTCCGCCGCCCGTGCCTCGGGCTCGCATGACCCAGTTCCTTTGCATCTGCCGCCGATCGGGGGAACGCTCTGGGCGCCAAGCCAGTCAGGCAACCCCTAAGATCCCTTACCCTCAAACATTCCCCTGTTAGTCAAGGCCAGCTTTGCAACGTCAGCTTTTATTCCTTCCAGTCACAAAGTCCGGAGGAGCGGCCCTTCCCTGGTGGGGCGGGGAAGGCAAGGGTGGAGTTGTCCACACCCAGGGGACCTGCGATCTGGGTGGAAGCGAATGCCGGCTCCTTACTGAACGCCCTCCATCATCTTCAGGAACTCTGCGGAGAAAAAGAGGGAAGAGCTCAGGGGTACCTCTCTTGGGGCAGAGACCTGGCCTGGGCACTCGCAGAGGGGCGTCTAGTCGCTAATGGATAAGTTGCTCTAAGCGGCCGGAGCACCCTACCGGGGCTCAAGACCGAGGGAGGGAACTTAATCAGGCGATGCCCAGCCCCACCTACATAGCTAAGAGCTCCCGCTGGCCCTCACCATCGAAGTCAATGCGGCCATCATTGTTCTTATCTCCGTCCTTCATCAGGGATTCGATCTCCTCATCTGTCACGTGCTCCCCAGAAGCCCGGAAAATCTCAGCCAGCTCCTCAGCATCAATGTAGCCGTCTGCATTCCTTTGGGGGGAAATGGACAGAGCAGGACACAGGGAACCGGTGAATTGCTGGAGCCATGCCTGACGCCTCAGCTCACACCCTGACCCTGGCCAGCCTGCTCCTTCTCTTCAGGCCAGCAGGCTCCATCTGCTCCCAAGTCCGTGATCCCAGACCCCACCCGCACCTGTCAAAGATGCGGAAACACTCTGCCAGCTCTTCTTCGCTCTTCCCTTTCGCATCCTCTTTCATCTGGCGCACCATCATGACCAAGAACTCCTCAAAGTCGATGGTACCGCTGCCTGCGGGGGAGCGGGCGGCACACTTAGCCCAGCATGCCCTGAGCCTCTCCCCACCGCCCCCTGCCCTGGAGGGCTCAGCTCACCATCCTCATCCACCTCCTCAATGATGGCATCCAGTTCCTCTTTGGTGGGTGTCTGCCCTAGCATCCTCATCACGGTGCCCAGCTCTTTAACGCTGATGTCCCCACCACCATCAGCATCAAACATGTCAAAGGCAGCCTTGAACTCTACCAGGGGGAGAAGCGGAGAGGGATGAGTGAGGCCGGTTGGATTGTCAGCCTCCCACCTAGTCTCCTCTCCCCCAGTGGCACAATCTCACTCACCAGCGATCATCTCCTCGCTGAGGTAGGACCTGGCCTCAGCCTGTTGGTCCGTCTGGAGAAAACAAAGAGAGGATCAAGAGCGCAGAAGGGCAAGGTCTCACCTCGGTTTCCCACTTGTTAGGAAGTCCCCCTGGGCCCCACAGAACTACTCCAAACCTACTGCACAGCTCAGGTACCCCTCAGTGCCCACTGCCAGTGCTGAGGAGAGGGGACACAGACTATGCCCATAGTTTTCTCACTTATCCTCTGGAGCCATAGAAGGGAGCCAAGCCAGGAAACCCCGTCCCAGCAAGTCACACTTCCTGGGCCGCTTTGCAGAGACAATAGAAAATCGGGGGTGGGAGAGGGTTTGGGATATGGTAGCACCAGAGATTTTCTAGTTTTCCCCTCTCCTAACGCTGCTTGGTATTTGACAAGTGGCCATAAATACTTGTCTTGAACTAAATAACGGAGTGCAGAGTCACAGGACACCTGCCAAGTGCTCAGAGGCTGAACCCACAAGAAGACATGGGCAGCTTCGCCTCAAAGGCGAGATTTCACACGCAGTCATTGGAGTAGACACCTCAGGCTCTTTGGCAAATGTGACGGGATGGCCTTGCCTTGGTGTGGAAATAGGAAAATTTGGTTCTGTTTCAGGGTTTTGGTTTTGAGATAGCCTTGCAACGCAGCCCAGGTTGGCCTGGAACCAACCAACCTGGCCTCAAGTTCTCCATTCTCCTACCTCTGCCTCCTGAGTACTGGGTTTCCACATGCATAAAATCATATGTGACCCTAAAAATAAGTTCTCTGTGGCCAGCTAGGTCAGGGCTTTGGTGACTTGGTGGTGAGAAAGGGGAGATGAGTACCAAGGCGCTCTTCAAGCAGCTGGCCCAGATCCCCCTGCCCTCCTCCACCCCTTGGCCTGACCCAGGAGGATAGGCTATTTTTAGCTAGGCATGGGCAACAGCAGCTGGTCTCTGGAGTCCAATTACTCCTTCAAGTGAAGTGGGAAGGAGAAGAAAATGGCAGCCCCAGACTAGGCCCTCTCTGTGGATGGTCAGGGTTTGTAAGTCTGGTCTGTCACCCACTCCTACTTCCCATCATCCTCGGGATTCTTAGAGGCCTGCACCTGAGCTAGCTATAGGCCCACAGACAGGAACCTTTCTTCTCTGGACGCCACAGGCTTAGCTGGGCCTAAGAAGCCAACTCAGCCTCTGCCTTTCAGGGCGACTTTGTCCTGCCCTCAGGGTTCCCGTCTCTCCTACAAAGCAGACAGGCTAAGACCCTTTCCACACAACCCTGGCTGCGGAATATCACTGTCTCACACCTCAGAAGGTGGCCAGGATGTCACAGCCTTGAGGATGAATTCCTGGAACAACCTCCCCAGGATGTCCCAAGAGGACTTGGGTTCTGGCAACCCTCATCTTCCACCTTCAGATGTCCACTCTGTTGCTCACAGAACACCAGTTCTGGGACTGAAAGAGGCCCATAAGCGGTGGTGTCCCCTCGTGTCCTTACCATGGTTGCTGGTTACAGGGGCTCCTCAGCCGTGGGTTGTCTCCTTTGCACTCCACCGCCCAAAAGTGCCCCAGATCTCTCTATCCTCTAGGATTTGTAGGGGTATCCTCTCTTCCCTCCTCCCTGCTCCCCAGAACTGGATACCCTGACCAATCAGATCCAGGGGTCAGCAAGCTCCACCCCTCCCAGAGTCCTAGCCCATTACCTAATTTAGCCAAGGGCCTTTGCAGGGAAATTGAAGCTTCTGAGCAGGTGGCAGACTCTGGCACCACATCCTCCTGGATTCTTAGGAGAAGGGCCTGCCCTGTTCACTGTCTTAGGAAGCTCCCTACCCCCAGTACATTTGCTCCAAGATGGGAGAGGATGTTCAGAATAGAGACAGCGTAGTGGGAGTGGAATGGGAAGAGCCCAGGCTTGAAGTCCCAAATTCAAGACACAGTTGTGCCTCTGAGCCATATGACTGTGGGCGCATAGTGAGGCCCCTCAAAGTACACCTCCCTCCAAGACAGAAGTAACAAATGTGAGCCCAGATGAATAAGTTGCCTAGCTTGTACCATGGCCCAAGTGGGGGGGGGGGAGAGGATACCTAGAACACCACTTACTAAACTCCTACAATGTCTCCACACTGTGCTGAACATCTCAGCCCCATGATCTCATCTGGTGTTCATCCTGTGAGGTGGTAACTATTATTACCTCCATTTGACTAGAGTGCTTTGTAAATCACACAGGCCTACAGAGGAATTCTTTTCCCCATTAGGAGGCCAGGTCTCACGTGTCCCAGGATGGCCTTGAACTCCTTAGGTAGCTGAAGACAACCTTGACGTTCTAATCCTCCAGCCTCCACCTCCAGAGTACTGGGATTTACAGGCATTTACCACTAAACCCTGCTTAAGTCCTTTGATTGATTTTGCAACTGTGTCTCCACTGTCATCTGAGCGGGCCTCGAACTCCTGGGCTCAAGTAGTCCTCTTGTCTTAGTCTCCCAAATCACTGAGACTGTAGGCATGCCTGATCTATCTATGATACACGTATACACAGCATCTGCAGTGCTGGGAATCTAAGCTGGGGCTTGTGCACGGTACAAAGTGCGCTACCAGCTGAGCTACATCCCAGTCCTTGGTGAGTCTTTTCAAACTTATTTTTTTTTAATGCATATGGGTGTGTTGTCAGCATATGTTTGTGCCCTGTGTGCATACCTGGTGCCCAAGGAGATCAGAAGAAGGCATTGGGTCCCACGATTGGGAGCCACTATGTGAGTGCTAAGAATTGACCCAAGGTCCTCTGGGGCTCTTGACCACTGAACCCCAGCCTTGGCAATTCTTATCATTTAATCTTTACTGCAGAAAAGTTAGGACAAGCAGGCCTCAGGGACCCACCCAGAAGACGTGTTCAGAGGAGCCGGGCAGCAGAGGCACACACCTTTAACCCCAGCACTTGGGAGGCAGAGGCAGGCAGATCTCTGAGTTCAAGGTCAGTCTGGTCTACAAAGTGAGTTCCAAGACTGTTACACAGAGAAACCCTGTTTTGAAAAAAAAAAACAAAAACAACAACAACAAAATGTGTACAGCGCAACGAGAGTGGGGCTTTGTTAGGAGGAGAAATGAGCATTAAAAAAAAAGAATTTGCCTCTTAAGTTATGTTTATCCAGGGACAGGGCATTTAGAACCCAGCTTTTTGTTCTCTAAATAGCAAAGAGACAGAAGAGACAGCAAGTGGCTCTGTTCTAGACATCAAGTATCTAGGACTTCCCTGCCTCTACAAAGCTGGGTTCTAGAGTCCTCTGTCTGCTGTGCCTTAGAGGGTCAGAGGCTGAGGCTTCATTTTTTCTAATCTTTCTTTCTTTAATTATTACTTTTTTTGAGATAGGGCCTCATGTAGCTCAGACTAGCTTCAAATCCACTACCAAGTTGAGGATGACCTTGAACTTCCCCATCCTCCTGCCTCCATCTCTCAAATGCTGGGATTTTACATGAACACCATCATGCCTCGTTTTACTTGATGCTGAGAGTAAGCAGAGCTTTGTGCATGACAGACAAGCACTGTCCCCAATAAACTACTTCCCCAGCACTGGAGGCTTCGCTCCCATTGGTAAAGCTCATTCACCAATGAAGTTATTCAATTTGTATTTCTATTGTGAAATCCCTGGGGTTTGGAATGCAAGTTTATACCTGAAATATTCATAAATACACATGTACTTGTGAAAACATGAAAGCGGGCAGCTAGCCCTTTCCTATAGTTCAGCTGATCCTCTGTAGAGTGAAAATGGGGCATAGAAGGGTCCGAAAGGAACCCACCCTAAGAATCCATAGGGTCCTGGCTGAGCGGTGAGGTAAGCAAGGCTCATGGACAGTTGCTAAATCAACAGAAAGAACATGGGGACAACTAAGTCTGGGGTCAGCGGGTGGTGGACCAGACACCAAGGAAGGCAGATGGACAGTGGCAACTGGGCTCCACTCTTCCCTATATATAGACATTCCAAAGAAAGCTCAGAGGAGCCAGGCCAGACTAAATAAGGCCTCCCCCTGCCAGGCAGAGGATCAAGGCATGGTACTCAGGGGAGTCCAACTTGGACAATGGACACTGAGATCACTTGTCTGTGACATGAGGAAGGCAACCCTTAGCAACCACCCATCACTATCTCATTCCTGTGTTTGTTTGGTGAAACAATAAGAACCAAGGTCCCAGGTGCAGACAAGCAAGGTCTTAGCTGCCCCTATTCTCACTCACCCTCTCTTCTCATCTTGCTAATGCTCCGCTCTGGCCAGGCTTCAAAACTGCCCCAAACACCAACCTCGATGATTGCATATGCTAGAAGCTCCCTGAGATCTTTCTCAGCTTTCAGATCACTTCCTCCTGTATTCCCTCTGCCCGACACGCCTGCTATGTGGCTCAAGGAGAGAAACAGCTTCCAAGCCTCTGGCCCCACATTTGAACCATGTCACATGTGAAGCCTCAATGAAACAATCATAATAAAAACAAAAAAACCAGTACGGTAGCTGTAATTTAAAGAGGTAGAGGTAGGAAGATGGGGAATAAGGAGTTTAGCACCAGCCTTGGAGGCATCTCAGAAAAAAAGAGAAAAAAGGTGATGAGAGATAGCTCTGTCTGTGAAGTACTTGCCACGCAAACACCAGGACTTGAGTTTAGATTCTCATTAGCCATGTGAGACCATAAGTCCAGCAATCGAAGGGGCGATGGAGCCAGAATGAAAACTAATAGATCCCTGATGCTCATTAGCCACCAGCCTCGCCAAATGGGTGAGCTCCAGGCAACATCTGACTACACACACACATGCACATACACACACACACACACACACACACACACATGCACGCGCGCACACACACACACACACGTACGTACAAAACCAGACAGAGCACTCCCAACTTTGACACCATTTACATGAGAAATCTATCAATGGAAGTGATGGATCACTTTTTGGGGGGAGAGAGGGGAAGGTTCGACAAAGGGTTTCTCTGTGTAACAGTCCTAGCTATCTTGGAACTTGCTTTGTAGACGAGGCTGGCCTCAAACTCACAGAGTTCCATCTGCCTGCTGGCGTCACCTCCCAAGTGCTGGGATTAAAGGTGTGCGCCACCACCGCCCAGCTAGGATCGCTTTTTAAAACTTTTGTATTTCATCTGTGCATACGCACACACACTCAAACGCCACTCTGCACATGTGGTAGTCAGAGGACAGAGATGGAGGGTGGGTTCTC